CCGGGGCAGTGTGTAACAAATGAACCAAAATCGGTCCCCACAATGCACTGCCATCCGGGGCCATACATTTTATCAAATTCCTGTATCAGATCAAAACATCTTCGAGTAAGTCCTGACATTCAGGCTGAAAATCTTTAGCAATTAAGTGAGTTCCACAGAATACATACCTTCTTTATGAAGCAAGCTACGTCAGTTGCTTCAGTGATATCAAAGAAATCAAGGGCTTTTGCTGCTAAATCAAGTGCATCTTGCTGCATCGTCTGCAGCATATCTGTTTCACCAATGACTGCTTTGCCTTCTAGCATGACTAAAACAAAAGATTTAAAATCTCTCTAAGAAGCTAGAGAAAGAAGTAATGGGGATGTGGAGAATGTGGTGAACCAAAATTAACCAATTTATACCAAGTTGTGGATTAATTGGAAGTGGTGGTGGAGATTATTTTCAACATGGAATAAAGGGGTCTAGTGCTAGTGGGTCAACCACGTATGGATACTGTCTTTGTGGTCACTAACTGCTGCTGGGGAATTATGCCAAGTACTTAATGATAATTAAGAGCAGTGGACCCTTCGGATTCCAAAATGGTTGTAAGCTTTGATGCTATCATGGTGAGCACAGGAAATGGATTGGAGGTGCAGAATAAGATTGATGCAGAGAGAGAAAGCTGTGCAAAACTACAAAGGCCGGCGGTCCCATTTTCCGCTGACATTTGGATTGCTCTTTGTGGATTTAGCCATGTGTAAAGGAGCATGATATCAACATACAGCTATGTTTTGTCAAGTTCTGCAATTGTATTTTCTTTCTGGGAATATAAATGAGGATGGAATTGATGCGCTGTGCACCAGCGGGGACATTCACCCATCTTTTGTTTGTTGTAATGCATGATTTAAACCACATATGAGAAGCTTTAGGCTTAGCATGACAGCACTGTCCAATATTATCCTGAAATGTAACTATTAAAAGTGTTGAATTATACATACTATTATAAAAGGTATTTTAGTATTTGATAATTATTTTTTTAAAAAAAAATATTAAATTAGACACATTATTATTTAAAATTAAATTAATTAATAATTTAATAAAATTAAAAAAGGAAAAAAAAAAAGGGGGCAAATACATAGGTATCCTTTTTATCTACCAAACACCTATCGGTTTGGATCACTGATTCAAACTGCTATACTAAATAGACCTT